TGTCAATGGTTTCCGCGTGCTTGATCAGATCCACAAAGGAGTTCCATGCATCTGCAATCCAGAGCTTTACAGCTCTGCGAGATCCATATACCGGGCCCCGAGCAGCTCGCATGATCCATTTCTTAGATTCCTCCTCATCCTCGTCCGTGGAGGGGGTGGGAATCTCCTGCACAGCTCTCAGAAGTTCTGAGACTTGGTCAAAAGGCACGGTGTAAACCAGAGAGGCGTCATGAGTGAATTGCGAGAAGAGGTTCGGGGTGTACGGGACCGAGTTGGCGGAGACATTGGCAGGGATCGGGATATCTTCAGCTGCGGGGGCAGTTGAATCAGAGTTGGTGGAATCGGGGAAGATGAGGGTTGTCAGAGCCAGGTGGTGGGCAGCAGGTTTTTCGGTCTAATATTTGATTGAGTCAGTATTTCTTTCTCGGCGCACAAGAAGAAAGGAGGAGGGGGGAACGGGCTCACCTGGGAGTCAGTCCAGGCGTCTTCTGCCTGCCACTTCCACGAAGTTGATTCTCCTAGTCGCAGATTGCGGCTTCCCTGAAGAAGGGAATCGGTATCAACCTGTCCCGCGACACCTCGGGGATCTTTAGAGGTATCAAGCAGACTGCCTTCGAGGAGACCCACGTAGGTGGTACTAGCAAGGATGGCAATGGCTACGAGTGTGTGAATAGGGTGCACACAGGCCCGGCGGGAGATGGACTGGAGGCCCGACACAATCTGACGTCTGATCCAGCTGGGTTGGGTTTCGCGCTCTTCCTCGGTTGAGCGAAGGCGTTTAGAGATAAACGAGGTAGCCATGGTGACGGGTCGCGAAGGAAGCGGTGAGGACGTCTGTTGAAGGCGCTGAGGAAGTTTTTAAGACGGTCCGCAAGGACCAGAACCTGCGAGGAAAGCCGTCGTGGAGTGATGTTTTACACCAAAACCAATGCAGAGGGGGAAATCTTTGAAATTAAGATCTAATTGTATGACCGCATGTGGGCTGCACAAGTCAGTATTCAGGTACTGGGCAGTTCCGAGCTATTCATTTGTTCTCTTAGTTAGAGCCCCAAATATCCGGACAAAAAGAGCACATACCGAGGGGAGAGATAAAGAAACTCAAGGCACAGCCCTTGGAATTGGAGGTCGTAAAGGGAAAAAAAAGTAAGGGCCCCCCTGAAGGTAAAATAATAGTTGCCCGAGACCGCTGGAATTAAGTATCGCCGACAACGGGTCGCCAAGCCATCCAGTGGGGAATCGGGTTTCGTGCGAGGTAATTTATTCCAAGTTATAAAGGATGTACAACATATGTTGTATGGTATTTTATAAAGAGAAAGGGAATAAAAATAATATATATATATATATAGATTAAGAGGGGGTGAGAAGAATGGGAAGAACAATAATAAGACCGATAAACCGGATCCCCGAGTCAAGCTGACATTGAGAAAAGGGATAACCCAGGGTTGCCTAGATAGGATGCAGGCTGCAATATTCAATACAGAATGTGCATATAGTGGCTTGAATATATGTAGTGATAATTGAAGGATATTCGAATATTTATACGAATATAAAGTGAAGTATCAAGATTTGAAGTGAACTTGACAGGTTTTAATATACAGAGACCCCTTAGAAGAAAATTTTCAGTGGCAATACAAAGTACAGATTGAACTACGGAGTAAATAATATTACTTACCCTAGGAAATACCTACGATCCCCAAAGGAATCTGGAGTTATTAGTTAACTAGTACTATTGGACAGACATTTGTTTATCTCTTTGTTCTTATGCATGTCGATCCCTTTATAGTCATGGGACACAGCATACAACCTTGCCATGTTGTGCAATATAAGTGAAATGGGAATTGAATGACGTCTCTTAAAAACCCTTGTAGGATATTTTCATATATATTCCTCCGATCTCGACGACTTTACGTGATAGAAAATCGAATAAACGATCAGCGACTCCACTCGTTTCGTTCAGTATGTATTCAAATTGAGGGTTTTCTTCCGTCCACGTCAGCCACATTACCCTTAGTCTGAAGAGGAAACTCGAAAGAGGTAGTGAGCATCCAATCTGCGAGTCCATGCTAAAAAAGAATCCACCTGGTGGAGCTCCGGAGAAATCAGATAAAAATCTGATAACTCTTGAGTCAAATCATCATCTCGGATTGACCCGGTGCAGACTCCATATATCCATATTAAGCTCGGTAACCGAGCTTGCCAAGCGAAAAGGGTGAAAAAGATAAGATCGTTTACTCTGTAAATCCCGAGTGCTCCGAAATTTGCTGCGAATTTTCAGGCGCCTTAGGCTTTCCCGCTCCGTTTTAGTGCTCACTTATTGTTGATCACTCCAGGGCTGAGTATAAGCGTCCACATAGCCCTGGAGGCACTCACTAAGCATTATATAAGTCCATAGGCTCGGGAACTCCGGGCTTCTGCACTTGGACAGCCCCCAAGTGGCTGCTTACTGCGCATGTATCTTACACCGGGGAGCGCTCGTTGGTGCTATAGAGACGGAGTGATTATGATTCCCCCATTGCCTTTAAAGAGATCATATGTACGACCATATCTAGCGTGGATCCTTCCCATCCCACCTCGTAGTTTCCATTTTGCTCCGATGAATCAAGGGCGACATCTCCCGAGATGTTGACAGCGGGGATGTAATGTTCTCAGGAAACTCGTCTGGGTCCCATTCTACTGTCTTGGCATTTGCGGTATTTTGGTCAACGTGTTTGCAATTGTGTAAGTAGACTGCAATGTCAGGCTCTGCCTGGGGCAGACAGCATATCCTCTCGGATTTCAGCGAAAATGACACCGGTGATGATAGCTCAAGGGTCATCCCGGTGAGTCGAGCTGATGGGGTATGCAAAGTAAGCATGTAAAAGAATCTTTCGAAACAAGCACCGAACGACCTGGCGGTACGAGCAACACCAGAGTGGGTCTATCGGCAGCTTCAGAGGGCGTTGTAACAGCCTGAATTATTACAAGCAAAGGCTGCCCAATTTCCGTAAAAAAATAGCCAGGCTTGTCGATAATGGTACCTAGCTAAGCCATGGTCGGTAGTTAATGAACTCTAAACTGTACAGGGGATCGGAAGACATTACCTAGCAAGTACCCGGTTCTCGTTAGCTTGTCTATGTATCTAGCAGGGGACCTACGAGGATCGCAAACATTGGGACCAGATGGGGAGTAAGCTGCATCTATATCAACGGATAGGAGGTTTTTGGCTCAAGGATGGCGCAATTATCTACGGTGGGATACATATACCTCTGATAGATAACAAATTCTAAACAGGTACGAAGTTCAAATGAATCATCTTATCATCATTCTCAGCCAAAGAAAAATTTCAGAATTCTCTTTGGTCTATCTTCAACTCGACAACAATGCAATTGTAGAAATTACTCCTAAGTGGAGATGAGGCAGTTCAGATTTTGAGTAGACGCTAGCAAAATATAGAAACCGAAAAAGCAAACGATGACATGACAACTTTGCGAGGAGCAAAGGTAGGTTAGTGGGTTCTCTACGCGAGGATCCGGAGATTAATAGTAACTAATAGTAACTGTCACTATTGCTTCCAAGTCTGTGCCGCATATATCGCACATTAACAGTGTTCAAACCGCTTTTAGCCAACTATATACTTCAGTATATAAGAATAATAATGCCAATAATTACAATGTCCTTTCAGACAACCGGTCTATTGATATAATTGTGTACAACACATCCAATATTGAAGTGCCGTTGTAGAGGCGCCCAGGAAGCAAGTTCAGTTTTACTACAACAAATCGTTTGTTAGAAGCCTCGAACAACGACCACAACGAGAAAACACCAGTATATTCCCTGCTAAATGTTGGCCTAATGGAGATGACGATTGATAGTATTGCGCTTTCGCGCTTTCATTTGCGAGAATGGTCGCCAAAGTGAAGCATGGCGAGATGGCCATTCCGGAACGTCAGAGGAATCATCTTGCAGTCTTTCCAATGTTTGGATTGGAAATACGAGGATAGGAGAAACAATCTTAAAATAGCAGAAGGGACTAAGGGAGAAAGTCTGATTATTTATTGTGACAAATCTATAAATTGTTCAAAATTAGAGGTATCATTAAGTTAAGTATTCTGTGGATTCCCTATGTGGCAGGTGACCAGGTGAAATTGAAAAATGCAAACAGAGCAATCTTCAGGAAATTAAAGCGCTAAATAGGACCCTTTTTGGCTTTCTCTTTCTCTTTCAGAGATTCAAGGGGTTTGTCTTTTGTTAATTTCGACTCTGACGGCGAAGCGCCCAGGGGTCCCAATCAGCCAATGAGCGTGCTGGCTGAGCCATTCGACCTGCACACTCGCGACATACTACTTGCAAGCTTGCAAGCTTGGAAGATCAAACACCTAGAGTCATGCAACTGCAACAGTTACGCGCCAGGAGCGGAACCAAGCATGTCTCAAAATATCCCATGGCTCTAAATATCTCCCGAGAACTGAGCCTTCCCATCCAATCATTCCCTACTTTGTCTAGAAGCCCCCAAGAGCATTGGGCTTGTATCTCGGTCTATTAAGAGGATTTATTGTTATGATGATGGTTTGGTGTCAGGTTCTAGAGCCTCTCCAATTAGACGCGAAGACTTCAAATCAGACAATGGTTTCTTTATGTGTAACAGACTCCCTTGAAACTTTTCTAACCTTTCTTATCCTTATTTTCGTTGCGGCCTGGGGGTGTTTGGTGAAAGATTGACAGCCCATTGTCTATTCACATCTATTGTCACAGGTCAATCATCCCAATGATCCTATTCATCTCGACAAAGCCCATTGTTGCAGCCTTCGACCTGGTCACTTCATCGATCTTCTAGACTCAATAAATACGGCACTTCCCGCTTAAACAACCCTACTTCTGCTCCATATCTCTATGCTCAAAGAAAGCAATACTGCAATATCTACTCGAATTGACGCCGCCGGCCGCCGTCCTTTTCAAGTTCACAAAATCTCATTCTTACATTCTTTGACCTCGAGCCCTACATATCTACAACCGCTATCGCAATGTTGATCATCGTATTGATAACACTTCTTGCTCTATACACTCCGACACAAGCTCATTCTTGGGTGGAAGAGCTCACCGTCATTGCACCAAATGGAACTTTTGTCGGCACTCCAGGATATGCCCGAGGGAACTACTTGCGCACGACATCGGGCTTTAGCGACACCGCCATGACCTACTTGATTCCTCCCAACACAAGGGCAAATGTGACTGAGATTCTGCCAACCGACAAGATGTGCAAGGACACCCAGCAGGATCAGACTCAGTCCGAGGGAAGCCCTCGGCTCCAAGCCAGCGCTGGGGCGGCGATTGCTCTTCGCTACCAAGAGAACGGCCATGTCACACTTCCTCAAACCCAGCCCGGAAAGCCCGCGAATCGAGGAACTGTTTATGTATATGGCACCACTGAGCCCAAGACAGGCGAGAAATTCCTCGATGTCCATGGAGCCTGGACCCAAGATGGCACTGGAGGTGATGGACGGGGGGTGCTCCTGTCAGTACAGAACTACGACGATGGCCGTTGCTACCAGGTCAATTCGGGGGAAATCTCAGGGACTCGACGAGCGAAGTACACCCACACAGCAGATCCGCAGATGGGAGCAGACCTCTGGTGTCAGCAGGATATTCAACTGCCCTCAAACGCTCCCAGCGGAAAGCCTTACACAATTTATTGGGTGTGGGACTGGCCCACCGCTGCAAGTGTTGATCTCACATATCCTAATGGAAAGGCCGAGATATACACAACTTGTATGGATGTGGATTTGGTGAACATAGTCACCAAGCAGGCAATCAAGAGTGACTATGATATTGACCAAGATCTCAACAATGCTGCAATCCCTTCACAGTTCGATGCACTTGGCAGTCCAATATCTTCACAGGTACCATCACAGGTATCCTCTCAGGTATCTTCTCAGCCGACCACTTCCTCCCAGCCAACAACTTTTGTCACATCGGTAGCTATGACAGGGGTTGAACCTAAAACAGTGACAGTGACAGATTGGGAGATCAGCACAAGCACTGTATTTGTGCCTGGGAGTCAACCCACGTAAAGTGGAGTTCAAAGACCAAAACATCCTAGATAGGACAATGTAACTGAAAATCTGAATGAAATGACAACCCTTTTGTTCCATTGTAAGCTAATCAGCCTAAAAACTAAATCAATATATCAGATACCCTAGATATGTATGTAAATGATATGCTTTGCAAGTAATATAAGCGAAGATGAAGGCATACAACATAACAATCCCATATAAACCCCTTTAGTCCCAAACGGGAATAGACGAAACCAGACTTGAAACACGCTAATGTTGGTCAGCACGTGACTTATCGACGGGTTCAAGCTTCACCCATTCACACAGCCAACTCTGTGACTCTTGAGCGGCTGCCTTGCATATTGGCTGATTCCTGCTGCTTCCTTTGATACATTCCATCTCCATAAATCATATTGTCCAACAACAAACAGCCCCTCTCCGACCCCAAAAACCAACTACGCGCTGATCATTATACCAGTTCAACCTACAACCTAGACAGGTATGGCAATATCCGAGCATTCACTCAGTCTATTTCTCCTCAAATTTCCCCATTTCCCATGTGGCCTTGGCTTAATCCTTGTCGCTGTGCGATTTGCACATTCTTTCCCGCATAAGCGCTGTGCCTCTGTTACACTTATATCTGACATTAGCCCTTTCTGCAGTTTTCTGCTATATTTAGCAATTCCCTGCCCTCGAGATCGCGGGACAAACGGCTAGAACAGCGGTCTCGATTTCGCCAATCCCACTTTGAACGGATATTCTACTACGCAAACCTTGCAAATCCGCTGGGTTTTTCTCAATCGTTGTCATCCCATCGTGAGGTCCTCCCCGTCGCGGTTCGGCGTTCCACTCGGGCCACATTTGCCCCCCCCCCCCTCGTGTCGTTTGCCGATTACCCACCCATTCACCGTCCACCAAACCGGAGCCCCCTAGGATAAACATCCTTTTTTTTTGCTCGAAACGCTTGACCTTCTAAAGGCTACCCCTGGTTTGAATCAGACGAGCCCAATATCGTTTTTGGCCCCTTACGACCTTGGCGCTTGCTACATCGTACCTGAACTCGGTATCTCTTCGGTCTCCGATCACAAGATATACCTTCCTTGTTTAATCCGAAGGGACACCCGCTGGTTGCGACTCCAAATTTCAATAACTTGGACTGCGTCAATCGCAATGCGAAACTAGAGCGCCAACCACGCGACCGATGAGCCACCCCACATTTCCTTTACTGAGATCCGCCCCGTTATTCCTCATTCCGAACCCAATTCTGGGTCTTTCTCCATGTCAACCATGATGTCCTCTCCCACATCATCGCAGAACATTCTGTCCACAAATAATCTTTCGGTCTTACCACCCATCCTCACTGATGGGACGGTGAAAAGGTCATCGACGCATCCGAAGGATCGGCTCTCCACTTATTCCAATGTCTCGCTTGCATCACAAAATCGATCGCGCCCAGGCTCCCATGTCTTCCCCATTTTCCATACCAGCCTTCCATATGCGCTTGTGCGAGACTTCGCCTACCCATCTACTCACCCTCTCCATTATGGGCCTCCCCCTCCTCGCGCCTCCGGGGTCTCCACACCGGCGAGTGAACATCGGCGTCTCTCCGATCCACCACCTTCGTGGGATATGTCGCGGGGATGGTCAACAGCCCAATCGGGCATAGAACCTCAAATTAGCTATGTCCATCAACAGTTGCCAGCCATGTCATTTGGAGATGGACCGCCATACAGCGAGGATGAGGACCTGCATAGCCCAGTTGTGACCTCGCGTCATCGCAAGAAGACATCCGACATGAATGGTCTTGTAGATGAGAGAGTCATGTCTGGAACTGGCCATGCAGGGAACAATGATCGCGGGATGCTCGTTGGGATTAACGCCGATGGCAGCGAGACTTATTATGTAAATGATGGAGACGCGTCAAATGATGGACCAGGTGGTGAGTATGTGACATATCCAGCAAATGAAGGACGGTATTCAATCATGGGATACAGCGCCACGGGTGGTCAGCAGGGTAATGGACATGACCCTGGCTTTGAGTCCGAAGATGAAACCCCCGGTGAGAACCGGTACTCCAGAGATTATCAGTTTGCGGTTGGCTGCCCAGATGAAGAGATGCATGGAAAAGCTGTTGCACTCTTTGACTTTACACGAGAGCATGAGAACGAACTGCCTCTTACCGAGGGGCAAGTGATTTATGTTTCATACCGGCATGGCCAGGGCTGGCTGGTTGCAGAAGATCCCAAGACAGGGGAGAATGGCCTTGTCCCGGAGGAGTTTGTGCGTCTCCTCCGAGATATCGAAGGAGGTTTGACGTCGCTGAATGGGGAACCGAACCCTGAGATCACCGGGGCCGCAGACATCAGTCTAGACTCCACCGAGTCTGATCAACTATCTACGCCTACTCAGGTAGGGCAGCCTTCATTTGATGTGAATGCTCAGTCTGAGGACAAAGCCACCAACGGTAATACCCCAGCTGCCGCCCCAATGGAAGGCGCAGATGCATCTCATGCGTCTCAATCTGCGCCGGATACTGGGATCTCGACCGGTAAAGCGACCGAGGGTGCCGACAAGCGCTCTACCACGCCGATCACGACCTGATCCAATTGTATGTCGGCCCTGAATGGCTTTGTTCGATCCATGCAAAATCTTGGCGGTGCTCCGTGCACGAGGAGAGATTGGCTGTCTGTTTCAAGTTGCACCCGCCATGAAACCTTGACAACGATCAACAAAGCTTGGCATCCTCTACTGTCCTGTCAGTGACTTGGGAGACCTCAGGCATGAAACACGCAGTTGGCTGGCTATGTGAGCTGTTTCATTGATGAACACTCAATCAGCACCTCCTTGGTGGATCACCCGCAAAACCCGAACCACCTAATCTCCGAGACCTTTCAGAGCTCCATCTCAAATGTCTTTTTTCTTTTTGCCCCTTGAACCACCTTCCCCTTCGGACGATTTCGTCAGATATAAACCCTCCTCTTTTTGTCCAGCCTTTTATTCAGCCCATCTTCCCGCGATGAATTACCCACCGCAAGTTCCTCTTTATTAACGTATATCATCCCTTCTTCACGATTCCAATTTATGTCTTCTAATCATGCACGTTGGGGAAACATAACCTGGGACTGAAGAGGATTGAGAATCCTTCTTTTACTACATACCCCAAGTTCTTTTTGCCATATTGTCGTCTTATCTGTTCTGTCTTCCCCACAATGCCTCTTATTAACTCCCCGTCGTCTTCCCTCCCCTGTATTTAGTTCCCTTCCAGCGCAGGCGTTATACCAGCATCAATGAGCATCAGCATAATGCCTATTCCATCTATTCAGTTACCACTATCATAAGATATCCCATGTTTAACCCCCGATCAATATGTCTACATGGCTTCATCGAATGCCAGTGTATTCCAGCTGATTTACTATGAGACAAACCGTGCAAAAAGGCCAGGCATTCACCTCTACCTACAACATATTTATAGCTTACCTCACAGAAAACTACATGTGTAGTGAGCCGTCCATTAGCTATTGATGGATGGGGCATGGAATTGAGCCTCGGTTTTGAATCTAAAAGATATTCAAACTATAGGTATCCAAAATAAACGTAAAACGCAATGCCTCCAATATAATCTCCCGTCAAATGGACCGGATATCAAAGTCCTCGAATAGGCAAAAGAAAACCAAGTATCAAAACTACATAGACAAACTAGCCAGGCATCTAGGTGGAGGACTTAGAAAAGTGAGTCCCTTCATCGAAACCGGCAACTCCATACCTGCTGTTTAGTTAGCCAAATCCACAAAAACAAGAAACTCTGTTGCAAAAAGGAGAGAGGGGCGGGGCTGTATGGGTGTGGTATATGAAGATACCGACCTTTGGCCCCTTAGTACCTGTCCTCGTTGCGGAACAGAGCACATACAAAAAACTAGCCAGGCATATCAGGGTCGTATCAACAAGAAAGCCAGAAAACAAAGCGTAAACAACATAAAAGCATGAGCAGTGAAGAGGCCCTAATATATCTAAATACCGCGATACTACCGATAGATCAAGCAATCGATATATCATTCTTCAGTGATAAATGGACAGTTTGCTTTTTAGCGCCACTAGCAAAACACCAAATATGCGAAGACCGGAATTTCCGGCTCTGGAAACGCGTATATAGAAGAGATCGTGACATATGACAGGATTTTACGTGAAGTGGGGTGGCGAAATTTTAGCAACCTGTTCTGCTATAGTGCAGATATAACTAGGTAGGAAGCCAACGGGGAAACTGCACAAATGATAATGCAATGGAGTGTACAAGAACAACAGAAAAAGGAAGAATGAAAAAAAAAGACCAAGTCAAATCTGGAATTCTGAATGCTAAAATCATGGCCACATATCGCAAATTGAAGAAGCGAGCATGGACTCAGGGGGAAAAGAAGGAGAGCGGTGAGGAATTGCCTTGCTAGCTGATCAACCAAGCAGATCGTCAAAGGCCGAGCTAGACTGTTGCTTTTGCTGGGGCTGGCTGGGTGTGGAGGCGGTACTGGAGGGAGCTGGGGCGCCCCAGATGCCAGCGCTGGCTTTTTCCTTGGCCATGCTGGCAAGATTAGGGCCCTTGTTTGTGCCGGTGTTGGACTTCTGGATGCCAGCGCTGGCGCTGGCGGTCGACCACAGCGAGCCGAAGACGTCACCCGAGGGCTTCTTGGCTGCTGCTGAAGCTGGCTTGTTCGCTGTGATTGAGGGTGAAGCCATGGAGGAGCTGGCTGAGTGAGAGGAGCCAGAATGTTGGGGCACGCTGACGGAGGTGAAGTAGTTGGGTGTAGCAGCTTGGTACCCAGTGGGCCTCTGCTGTTGAATCGGGGCCATCTGCGAAAGAGGAGTAGCCTTCCCGCTGGAAGAAGGGGTGGGGGTGGCCGATTTGAATCCAACCAGCCCGTTGATGTTGGCACCCTGAGAGGCCGAGATTGGCTGGGGCGCAACGAATTGGGTGTTTGAACTTGTGCTGGCAGTGGAAGCTGGAGGGGGGATGGCGAAGTTTGACGACTGAGTAGGCTGGGTAGCCGGGGTTGCGGACTGGAAGTCGTCGAAGTCGTCGTCGTCGACCGGGGATGGGTCAAGCATATTGAGAGCATTGCTGGCGGGTTGCTTGCCGGTCGAGGTAGAAGCTGTGGTAGTGACAGGCTCGTCGTCGCCAAAGTCAAAGAGGTCCGCTACAGGCGCAGGAGCTGGCTCAGGCTTCTTTGCCTGGGGCTTCGCCCGGGCAGCAGGCTCACGCGAGCGTGCTGGGGCATCTCCCTCGTCATACTCGTCATATTCTTCGAAGCGGTTGGACCGGTGTCCACTGTCCTGGAAGTCGATGCCAGCTTGCCCGCCAGATTCTCCGCCAAAGCCGCCACCGTCGCCATAGACACCTCCGCTGTATCCACCGTACCCCATACTCTCGCTACCAAAGCCTCCATAACGGCCCGAGCCTGAGCTGGACATACCGGCACCCATACCACCTTCGAAGCCACTGAACTTGTTGCGGTTGTTCTTGGCCTTCTTTCTTTCGGTCCGAATTTGATCCACATCACCTAGCAATTTCACGAGCTCGGATGACCGGTTGCGCACATTGATACCCTGGTCCTTCCCGTTCGCATCAATGTAGTGGAACTGCCGCAGCATCCGAATCAACGACATGTGGGATCGTGCATCATCGACGACTCGTTCGGAACCGTTCTTAACAAGGAATTCGAGGAGCTGGAGGCTCTATGATTTGGGGGAAAAAATAGGTTTAGCCATAGCACATCCGCATATATAATCATGCTTCTCGTACCTTATAGATCTGTCGCCATTCCTCTGCAGCCTTGTCGGTGAATCGCTTGTAGATAAGGGGCATGATCTCATTCAGTAATTGGCTGAATCAAGGGAAGGTCAGCGCATGCGCATTGGTACGGGTAAGTTCAGGCAATATGGACTGACTAGTTGTGCGTTCCATTGGCGATGTCCTGCATCAACGTGGTCGAGGCACCCCAGGGTTCATTGTTTGTAGCTTCCCGGACCTGACTTGCGTAAGCTTTGTATCGCACAATCCTTTCATTTCACCTAGCAAAATCGTGTTGCTTTGCGCATAGGTGGGCGATTGTATACGAACCTTGGATTCCATCTCGGTATAGTTCATGACAGCTATGACGGAACAGTCAAATCAGTCTCCGCAGATTGCAAGACACATGCAAGTCAATTCGGCTTTGTTCATAACGAACTCGGACCAAGCGGGATTTGAACTTACCATTCTGTACCTTGCGAACACCAGCCTTGAGGTCATACAAGGTCAAGTTGCTGACCTGATCTTTGAGGTTGGAGAAGTCCATGGTGAGGGTCGACTGCTAGTCGTCCGGACAAGTATGGGGAAACGAGGATCCGAGAGAAAAGATAATAGCAGCACAGGCAATTGGAAGCCGAGCACAAAAAGAACCAGAAATCCCTGAGGACTAAAGTGGACAGTTGGAGGGGGGAAGATGCCCGGTTTCCATCTGGCAACCCGATTGAATGCGCCACGTCACGTGGTAACCCCTGACCAAGCCTTGTATACTTCGGATGGGAACGATTATGCTACTTAATTTTTTACTTTCTACTTGAAGAGTTTTCTGGAAAATTGAATTGGTTTGCAATTGATACTGAATGGTATCATACTGTGTACATGTTATTCGCCCGTATAGACCGAACGCTATCGCTATCGAAATCAACAAAATACCCATGGTATCTTAAACAAAAGACAAAAAGAAAAGAGAGAAAAAAAAAGACAGAAAATAATAATATCAATAAGAATGTGTACCCAGTTCATCCCTCATCAAGTCCATAAGCCATGACTCTCACTCGTTATAGAACTTCTTCATGATCAAATGCAAGAAAAGGTTGACGTTGACCCGCATCTGTCCGTCAAAGAAGTCCATGAATTGCGTGTTGTTGAATTGAGCCTGCAGCAAGTCGTCCAGCGGTACCTGTGCATTAGCGCCGGGAATCATCATGACACCGCTGCTCCCGTCAATGGTGAATACACCAACTTCGTTGCTTGAGATGGTCAAGTCGACCCGATCCCACTGCCGCTCGGCGTAGCCCTTCCAGGCAACCAAAACACCTCGGTCTGCTAGAGTGCGCGCAGAGTATTTGTAAGATCCAAATTTGAATACCTTGCCGGATTTTTGCAGCTCTCGTTGATGATCCCATTGTTTGGTAAACGGCATCAGGAATCGCTTCTTTCCCTTCTTGTTCTGCAACGTGATCATGGCCTGCTCAATGTAGTCGTTGTATGTCTTGAGCTGCTGGTCTAGGTAGACAGCCTGGCCACTAAGTCGCTGAGAGGTCAAACGGGCACCCTCCAGTTCACGCTCTCGCTGAATTCTCCGGCGATGCTTGGTACGGATATCGCTGGCGATGGCGTTCAACAAATCCTGATAATAGTTGTGACGATTGATCTTGCCTTTCTGTTCAAGCCGAAGGATATTCTCGAGTGCAATTCCTTTAAGCTCGGAGTAGCTCATAGCACTAATGTCAATTAAGCTATTGGCCTCAGAGTAGGCGCCTCGGCGATGGTTATTAGTGTTCAGTTCTTCCCGAACCAAAGTATGCCACCGCTCCTCGTCCTCGGCTGTCGGTGGCTTGAGCATGACGTCCATTAGGTTGGCACCGGATTGGACTCGGATGATGTAGAGGATGCAGCGCTTAGTTTCCATAAACAGCGTCTTCACCTCTGCTTCGGGGTCTGGAAGGTAGAGTTAGAAAGATGAACAGGTAACGGCTTGCTTGCATTTCTTACCTTCAATCTGGGCCAACTTGGGATTCAGTGTGAGATTGATCTCAGTAGAGCTGACGCCCATCAATTCGTTCTGGTTACTCTTGACGTTGCCAAGTTCTCGCACAAGTTCTTTGAGGAAGTCATCAGGGTGGGGGCACATGTAGTTAATCTCAGAAGCCACAAGCTGGTGAATAGAGAAGATGTCAGACATCTTAATGTACAGGGTGGGTTTGGCCTTGGCATAGAGATCGTTGAATTCATCGATGTCGAAAT